TGAACGCTGGCAGTAAAGTGCAGTACAGTACTTGCAAGACAGGGGATATACCTGTATGAAAAGAAAAATAATGTTCCAAACCATGTCAGAGATGAGCTCCCTCCGTTTCTTGACAAGTCCGCAGCGCATTGCTCGCTTCTCTTGGCTCAAGGCATCATCTAGTCTTTGCCTCACCATCACCAGGTCCTTCTGGGCTTTCTCCTGGAGCTGAGTCAGCTTTTCAGCAGACACCGTGCTCCCTCTGGTGGAAAAAAAAAAATTCAATATTATGCATTCGCCTCTGCTAACCTTGGCACAATCGCAACGCAACACAATTATGCGTCTTAACAGATGGTAATATTGTAATAGCCCGACCTTCTGATGTGTGTGAACATGCTGTCCAAATTGCTGGAGGTGCTGGCGAAGGTGTCAGAAATGAGACTATTGAGGCTGTGCAGGCTGTGTAACAGGAACTTCCGCTGTGCATGGCGTTCAGCGAGCACAAAACGCCAATTGGCAAGGATCACATCCAGAGTCTCCTCCAACAGATCCTGGACACAGATGGATCATGTACTCGCGAACATACATACATGAACATAGATTGGTGTTTAAATTAAAGCCTGAATTACTGCAGGCTTTAATGATGTAGATGTACTTATCAAAAACAGACTACAAAACAATCCTTAAGTATACTAAAATAAAAAGTAATGTAATTTGCAGCTATTATTTTCCTATACATATGGGGGTTTTGTCATGTGCATGTTGTGCATTTGACATTTCATTCTGTGACAGCATCTGCGATGTTTTTATTGAATGACAATAAAGTCTGAGCCAATGATTATGCACTTTGTATTTTTTTTTTTTTTAACATGATGAAAATGATTCATGTATGCCTCATCTTCCAGGAATTCACGTAATCTTTTGGACTATTCTAAAACATACTAGTCTCTTTGAACCTTATCAAGTTCTTGAAGTTATGCAATTAAAGTGGACATACAATGGAAAATATTTGGCCAGAATATGAATCTGTTTGAGATTTACATTGTATGATTATTGATGACCATAGTGAACACATGGGTTGCTGACCTGACACTGAAAGTAACTGTGCTGAAGACTACTGGCAGCAGTCTTCTCCAACTCGCCCATCTTTGTGGCCTCCTCCAGCTCCTCAGAGAAGATTTTATGAAGCTCCACCCGACGCCACTCGATGATCTGCCTCTGGACCTTCGCCGAGGCTTCTTCGTGGCGGACCAACAAGCTGCGCTGCAGGTGAGCCTGGCTCAGCTTGTGAAGCTTCTCCAGGAGGACGCTACATTGGAGGAGCTCCTAGTGAAGTCAACAATAAAATGAATTGAAACGAAAGAAACTATCTACACACTACGGCATCCGTTGTCACAACCTGTTGTTCTGCATGTTGACATAGCAGCTCAGCCTGGGCCTTCTCTGCAGCTGCCCTGCGATGCTCTGCTTCCATCTCCTCCCGGGTCTCCAGGTTACACTTGCCCGCCAACGCAGCCATGCGGGCACCCCGCTCCTCCTTCAGCCGACCCTCCATACCCAGCAACTGCCCATGGAGCACGCTGAGAAGTCTCTGCTGAGCCTGGAGGCTGACCTGGCCGCGGTACCGCAGGCCTCCCAACAGGAGAGACAGAACGTCTTTGTAGATCTGAATCCGAGTGGCCTCCAAGTTGTTGGTGGTGTGCAGGAGTGTGGACATTTCCAGGCTAACGTGGGTAACATGAACAGAAAAAGATGTGTTTCACAAAAAAATTAAGGGGGGGGGGGGGAAATGACACACAAAAAAAAAAAAATTCCCTGAAGGAAATGTGTTGTCTCCGTTAAACTCATTCCTGGGTAGCAGTGGCCAACACGCTTGTCACATCAGGGGATCAAATACATATTTTAAGTGACCTCTTATTTCATTTATTCCAGTTCCATATTTTTATGAGAAAATTGCTTTAAAATGTAAACACATGTGAATGGTTTATTCCTTTACTTTTCCAGGGCCTGGTTCATGTTCTGCGGTTCCTCCAGCACCATAATGTCAACAATCCTGTCTTCAAAAGTTGCCTCATCTTTAACGGTCTCTGTCATGTCGCAGTCTGCATACTCTGGGTCTGGATCACCTCTGTTTTTCTGAGGTACAAAAATACAACAAATACTCATGCACAGAACGTTACAAATATACATATTTTTTTAACGCCATGAAAATGTTAGATTCAGACATAGTTTAACAAATGTAATAAAGCACCACCCATTGTAAGATGCCCAAAATTAACAGCATTAGAAATGACCAAACTCGTTTTGTATGCTTCTGTAACGGTTAATCGACAACAGTGCTTTAACCGAAATTCATTTTTAATGTAAAAAAAATATAATTTGGCCAACTGGCGCTGCACATCCATGACTGGTTGACAGCCAATCACAGGGATGTTAAATGAATTTGCAAATGTATTATCGTACAAAAAAAACAATTAAAAAATAATAAGTACGCCCAAGATATCAAAATATAGTTATTTACTGGCTTAATTCGTGAATTCTCAGAGGTCTGGTATAGAAATGTGAATTTGATTTGAAATTCTTCTTTGCTGTCTCAAATGATACGACGACGCAAGCTCACGGAAGTTAAAAGAGAAGTACTTTGGATGGTTTCTACTCATTTTATGAGGACTGTCAATACTCACCCTTTGCTGAAGAAAGTGCAGTCTGGTTCTTGGACCAATCAGGTTCATGGCGAGAAAGCCCAGCAACAGCAGCACCAAAGCAACAAAAAAACCACCAATAAATCCAGCAAAGTGCACGCCATGGTTCGGATAAATCTAAAACAAGACAAAACAACATTGCATGCAAGTTTAAAATACAGCATTTACCGTACTGTATCATAAAAATAGCCGCTTATTTACCATGAAGGAGTACAATTTACCCTGTCTGTGGAATTAACCCGCAGTGTCAGATTAGCTGTCAATGGGCCAAACATGCTGACATCATTCTGTGGAACGACCGGCAAAAGAAAGTGTGATTGTCGTTATTCCATAATCATTTGTGGAAGAGCAGATCTGTCTCACGATACGGCAACAGAAATGGCACACTCGAAACTACCTGTGATAAGTTAGAGAAGGTGAGAAATGCTGGAAGGTCCAGAACTCCCCTCTTATGACTTCTTATTTGAGCTGTATAATTCAGAATCATTTGGGATCCAGCTGAAAAGTTTAAATAATAAGCTTCAAAATTGCTGCACAGATAAAACGTTAAAAATGACACGTATGTATAGTTATGAACCAAATGTCAGACATACCAGATAAAGAATCAATGGCAAACACTTGGTATCCTCTCTCCACAACCCGGCCTTCAGTTTTTAGGGGTACTATCCCAAATATGGAGTCCCGGATGGCCACCTGAGAGAGGTTGGTGCCACCCTCTGGGCTCAGGTTGTGAATCAGCAAGAAGAATGTCAGCTGTGGGGGGTCCGCTTCAGCCAGCACCTGGGGTGTTGTCACATGAGTTGATGGTGACTCTCAGGAGCAGACTGGTATGGTTATATATTATACATGTATACCTGTGCACACTTGAGGAACTTAACCTTAAAGGCTGCTGGAGGTGTCAAACTCTGAAGCTGCAGAAACATTCACAACATAGAATTATAATCAATACAAATTTATTTTAGAATGGACAGAAACAGTCTTGAGTGAGAAATGATACAAAGCATCACCTGAGGTAGAGTGTGGCCAGGACCGTATCTGGTGAGTGAGCTTCTGCGATCTCGAAGTTGGAAAATGGCTTTCATGTGGCTGAAGGGTGTGTAAACGGAGTGCGCCCACGGGTCAGGAGAAGCAGATGAAAAAACAGGCCTCTCAGCAGAGTATGAATGTTGGAAATCCATTTTACCTATGATGTCACATAGTGCAAGATTTTTTTTTAACAATAAGGTGCTTGACCAATTAAAAGGAGGCATAAATTGTTTCTTTCCGCAATGAGAAACAGTTACCGGGTGTCTTAATATGTCTGTAAGATGCGCTTGTAAAAATACCTACATGCCAGCTCGCTCACGGACACATTTTCAGAAATAGTCAGATCACAAATCATGACCTACGTGTATATTTTGTACATTCATTGAACATTTGTTTACATACAGTGTGTATGCAACTGCAATCCTGGTGGATTCCCTCTAATGTGTTTGGTTTCAGAGTAGCTGGAAATGCTCTACCCCCATGTAAAAGACACAAAAATAATGCAAATTAGACAAGCAAGATCGACGTTGTTTTTCAGACACAAACAATCAAATACAGTATTCGGCAACGGGCTACTCACTCCATACTTGTTGCACGAATTTCTTGTAGGCAATGAGGAGCACCAGCATGTATCGTGGAATGTTCCGTTGCATAGAAGTTCAGGGCAAGCAACACCTGGTCCCCGACTTTGGATGGCGTTGGGACACCCGCTTGACGATGGACTTGGCGGATAAAAACACGACACTTGGAGGTTGACTAAAATAGACCATATTGTCACCTTTTCCGCCATCAAATGTACCAGAAGCATCCGTTTTGGCTCTCACTCGGGAGAGCCGCAAGGCAGTGATTGCGTCGGTTCTGATGTTGAAATACAACAAGAAAATTCCATATTTTTAGGTGGCCTAAACGGATAACCGATGAAGAGATGATACGTGCTGGTCAACATCCAGGCATTGGGACTCCGCGCACATCCAGCGACACTCCATTTTCCCAATCACCGATTCCCCAAACAGTTCCAAAAGTTGGGAAGTGAAGGACGGGTTTTCAAAACAATCGAGATCAGCATCTGTTCCCGTTGTGTTTTTCGAATTAAAACGCCACGACCCACATTCTGCGCTAACGAAGGCTAAAAAGGGATAAATGCCAGTCTACATACAAAAGTAAAAGTTTAATTATTTTATTTTCTTTAGTCACAAGAGCGCTATCCTGTGAGGTAGTGTCTCCTTTTGACGCGAAACCAATAACAAGATTTTATTTTGAAGGCAAGTATGTTGTTTTCGCCGATTGGTCAAAAACTTTAAACTGGTAAATTTTTTCGGATAAACTCTAATTTATTGTAGTTCGAACATGTAGATTTTACATTGCAAGGACCGGGTGCGGTTAAAGACAGATAATCTCAGGCATGTGTTCTAGATAACAATGGTCCCATGACTTTGTTGTGAGGTTTTCATCAAGATCCCGATTTTGTGGGGAAAACTTTTGTGGAACTGCGACCCTCGAGACATGTCCGAGCAGGATTTAGTCGTTAAATGCAGTGCTGATGTTTTGGTCAATTATGTTGAGTCGCTGCACGTCTACACGGGGCTGTTGACAGTGGCTACAGTTTGTGGTGGATTGTCGGGAATATTAGCTGCTGCCCTTTTGTATGTGTTCTGCCTGAAGACTTTAATTTTCACCAGACAAGTAAGCAACCGCCAGCACACTACTTTTTCCATCTATTTAACAGATTACAACTTTCTGCGCATTTGTTGTATTCCATCAGGGGGACAATGCAAGGAGGCTTCTTGAATCTCATGATGGAGAAGTGGAAAACAACACCAGCGATCATGCGAGCAACGACAGAAAAGAGGCTCCGCCTGCCACAGCTAATGACAAAGTATTTCACTTCTAATCTTTAGTGGACTGGCATTTGATTAACCTCGTGTTTGTGTTTTTTTTTTCTTCACATGATATATGGAACAGGAGAAGAAGCAGGAACCCACGAATAATGACGTTGCAGCATTTGCATCAAGAGCAAAAGTGGTGTACCCCATCAACCAAAAATATAGAGTAAGTTTATTACTGAAATGCAACATGGAGCCCAAAAGTGTATGTTGCATAAGTAGCAAATTATTTGCATACTTTATTCTTTTTGTTAAACTTATTTTTGACTGATTATAATTATCCCCTCAAGTGGAAATTTAACTTGTAAGCGTTGGTGTGTGCATAAGTGCTGTACATCTTTAGCTAGGGATGGGAGCCAGGAGGAAACCAGAATCTCATCTATGATTGGTTGCCGTTTTTTTATTCCAAAGCGCGGCCCGGTGGTCCAATGGTTAGCCCGTCGACCTCACAGTGCAGAGGTCGTGGGTTTGATCCTGGCTCCGGCCTACCTGTGTGGTCTTTGCATGTTCTCACCGTGCCTGTGTGGGTTTTCTCCGGGAACTCCGGTTTCCTCCCACATCCCAAATGTGGCTGATTGAACACTCTAAAATTGCCATAGGTGTGAGTGTGAGCGTGGATGGTTGTTCGTCTCTGTGTGCCCTTCGATTGATGATGGATGGATGGATGATTCCAAAGTCCTTTTAGATGATCAAACGGCACCCACTTTCCATTATTGTTTGCGGTTGTGCAAGCATCATAATGTCCGAATCACATCAACGGGGACTTATTGTGGCAATGTTAAGCATTGAAGTGGCACAGTAATGCTTCCTCCAACGTTTGTGGCAGCCTTTAGCAGATGGAGCATCCAACCCGTCTCTTCATGAATGCTCCAAGTTGCCAACAATGCCAAAGGACGATTCATCATCCTCCTTCACAGAAGGAGAGTCCTTAAGCCAAGAGCTGGACAATGATGACGGCAGCCAGTTCATCTCCTCCTCATCAGTCCCCAAGAACCTGCAGAACCAGAGCTTTGTCAGGGTCTCCCACTACTCTTACACTCTGACGCAAACAGGGTAGGTGTCACTGGTCTTTAAGAAAAAAAGTTTTAACATTTACAGTCTGTAACTTTGAGTATGAATGCATTTAGCTTGGTAAGTTAGTGTTTTTGCTGCAGTTTTGAAGCTAGGATCAACCTCCATTGTTTGGCCCTGAAGGATGTACAACAGCTTTGCTCTCAACTTCTGGAAGAAAAATATTTAGTGAGTGTTTGTCATTTTATTCCCCTTGCATCAACGAAGAGGCACCACCACATTTCGCAAACTAATCTCAGTGTGGGTGATACATGGAAAAGCATCTGTCAAATGTAAATTTGGGAGCCAGCAGTTTATGTGGCACAATTATATAGCGCTAAGTCAACACATTATGTTTTACGGATGCTAAGTGTATGGTAGAATGTTTTTGTTTTCTCTAATCTATTGCATTTTCCTGCCTTAGATTTACCTTCAAATGGTGAAAAAAATATTTTGCAGTCATTTTCCAAGAGACAAAAAAGATGCAGAGTTCACCAAGCGCCTTTTTCAAATGCAGCAAAAGGTAACCTATTTATTTGAAATAAAGTCCATATATACTGTAATTATTTCAGAATTGTTGGTATTTGGAAAATACATTTCTTCATGTACTGATTAAGGTGATGTAAAGTTCTAATTCCTTTTTTTTGCATTACACCTTAAATCTGTATGAATGCATGCACTGTTATTTTAGGAAGTGGAAGAGCTAAAGAAACAGCTGCCAACGGGCCATGCTGTCAGCGATGACAGTGTTGATGCTCCTTGCACTTTGGAGGAAATGGAAAGATCCCAGAAAGATTTTCTAGAAGGCAGCCTTCAAATGGTAAGGATTCATGGAGAGACTCTGATTAAAACCATATTGGTTGTCGATTCTGAAAGCTATAGACAATCGTATTTGCAGTCTAAACGTTTCAGCAAAATGGTGGAGGAGCTCTGCCAGCATGTGATGAAGAGAACCAGCAGTTTCACTGTGGATGAAGCCCATGATTGTACACTCGCTCTCAACCAGACTCTTGTCTTGGTTGAGAATCACCTCATGAAAGCTCAAGAAGCGCAAATTATGGTTAGCTGGTTGGCTTTCTCCATTGTGTAATATTTATTTATTTATTTTTTTGGGAGCAAGTGGGTGGATTTACATAAACACCTTAGTGCCCTTCTTTTCAAGCAAATCCACCAGAAGCTCTTATGGTGGGAGGAGCTGACAGGGCTTCTACAATCCCAACCTGCCCTAGTCCAGCAGGAAGCGTCTCTGAGGCAGGACTTGATGGCTACGGCACTGGAGCAGCTGAACGGCGAGAATGTTTTGACTTTCAGCTGCATGGAAACGATACTTTCGCAAGTGCAACATGCGCATGCCGAAGGCCTTCGACAATGCAGAGAGGGTGGGATGAATCATCTGGTGTGCTTGTCATGAATAGTGTGTGTTATCATAAAAATGTGTGTCTGACAGCCAAGGTTGTCGTGTTTTGAACCTTCATACATATTCATTCAAATATTAATACCGGTAATGGTTTCCAGTCATCTTTACAAAATGTCATTGCCTGTTTGTCATGCTCAGTTTATTATTTATTTTTTTGTCACAATCCAGATTTCATGAGGAGAACAAAGGAGTTGCTGGTTGAAAAGTGTAACAAAATGGAGGCAAAGCGAAAAAAACTTTGGACGAGCCAGGACAAAGAGAGGAGTCGTTTGCTGGAGCTACGACAAACTCACGGTGACCCAGAGCAGCTGTCAAAGGTGAGCACATCTTGGTCACTTAATTGCTACATGATATGCATGCAAAGCACCTGGCTGTGGAGGTCTGCAGTGCATCAGCTGTGGCTGATAATTGTAACAATACCTCAACTCTATTCATTACCCGTAGGAGTACCAAGAGATATTGTTAAAACAAAGGCAGAAGCTTTGCGATCTGGAACTACAACAGGACGACCGGATGGCTGAAAGCCTCTGCAACGTTTGGACAGTCGGTCTTTTCAATACGCTCCAGTATTTCTCTTAATGTACACTGTTTCATGTACATAACCGTTACTTTGACCACAACCTGTGTTCTGTTCAGAAACTCCGCAGCACCTGGACAGAGATGCTTGAAGAACGAGCCAAGGACATCTTTTGCATGTCCGTTACCACCCAGTGCAAGCTGTCTCACGAACGCTGTCAAGCGCTCTGGTTGGACGTAGAGCAACAGTTTGCCGCACAGCAGGAGCAGGTGGAGAGAACGACGGGACTCCAAATGGACCAGATACAGGCTCAAATTGAACAAGATCGGCAGGTTACAGACCATATTGTACTTTCGGTCTCTCTTTGTGGGGGAAATTCAACATAATAACCTGTAACGTGATAATATGATAAGCTGTCCACTCTAGTAACCGCTGTCCCTGAAAGGGTTAAAGTACTCTAGTGTGTTCTAAATAGGTTTCATTGACTCTTCTTCTAGGTCTGGACTGAGTCACTCGCTCTGATGCATGCCAGCCTCAAGGATCTAAAGAACCAGCAGATGGAAATCCTGCGGGCCATGGTGGTCAGTCAGAGCTACACACTTAACAGGTGACACTGAATGATCAGTAAGATAGACACAGGTGCTTTTGGCATGTTCCGGGGCCAATCCTTCCAGTCATGTCGGCCAATAATCTGGAATGCTGAATGGGGTTAAATTGCATCCATAAGAACTATCACACCGATTAAAAAAAAAAAAAAAAAAGTGACACTTTTGTGTAATACCCGCCGTTTCATGAAGGACTCCACCTCGATCATGTTATTGTCAAATCTGTCCTTTTCTCAGTCATGTCGGGAAGTTGCTGGACAAGAAACATGAGCATCTGCTGGCAAGCGTGCAGCGCCACTTCATGGCCAGACACTTTTGTCTGCACTTGCTCAAAGAGATGAGGCTGTCCAAACTGAAGGTTCTGTCTCAGAGAGACTTTCGAGCTCTGCTGATGCAGGACCCCGCCGCAATCCCCTCGTGTGTTGATTCAGCTCTCAAGGTGGCGGGAACATTATTAAATCAATGACCTATTCCTGATTGGGCATCTTGAATTGTTTCGTCAGTTTGAATTTTTGTTCTTGTGACCTCACAACGATATAGGAGAGCAGTGCGAGCCTAGCAGAAAAGCATCTGGATCCAGAGAGTCAGCTGGTGAGCCACAGTTTCCATCAGGAGTTCCTGTCTGAGCTGGAAACGGGGACGGAGATTCTTAAAAATCATTCACAGTTGTTGCTCGGCAATGCCCTCAGCTTCGCCGTCTTACAGTTAATGGAAGGTCGGCTGTCTGAATCACAAAGCTGCTCCAGGCATGATGACGCCTCGAAGGTGTTGCGTCTCTGGGAACTGCTGAGATTCTTTCTTTTCAGTCCTGTCATACTAACTGTGAATCTCTTACTCTTGTTTTCCCTTTAGCACCATCTCACAGAGGCTGCTTCTGAGAGCGTATACGTGACTAAAGATTCTCTAACTGCTCTCGTCCAAACCTACTATTCTAACTTGCAAGATATCGCTCAAAAACTACGGCCACATCAGTCAAACACAAACCTTGGTGAGACTATCACACCACTATTATTATTATTCGACATAAGCTTTATTTCTATTGACAGAAAAATGTGTCATAGTGGAAAAAAAAAAAACATTCCACAATTTCTGCAGACCCACCGCTAACTTCATTGCCCAGCAAATTGGTGCAGACCTTGTCGAAACTTTGCTGTACACCAAGATAATCGGACGTTTTTTTTTAAATGCGTCGTATTAATTTCTTTTGCTCCAAACCGTGTCTCTGTTGTTGAACCAACAGACGCTTCAAATTTAGCCAGAGACCAAAGCAATTGTTTCATGTTTGAGATTGACCCAATTCCCTCACCATCCATAACGAATCACAATTGTCTCTACTAACAAATGAATGCTCAGTTTTGAGCATGTATTTCAATAATCGTATTAATAAGTGTGCAGTACACCATTTTTGGTCATATAACGTCCATACAGATGTGACTGAGGAAGACTCGAGTGGCAGTCAGTTGAACAAAGCTTTGCTGAGGGAACTGGATAACTGGGGGAGGAAACCCGCCTCTGCTAAGTTTCAACAGAGGTACAAGACAACATGTTTTTGGAAGTGCTTGAAGTCGAGTTTATGGCTTCTTTTCTTTTTCAGGGTTGAATTCCACAAAAGGAAGATGTTAGAGCAGTGCAATCTGGAACAGGAGAAGAAGTGTGAGGACCTGAGACGAAGAAAAGTAGCCCAGGACCAAAACTTTGAAAGGATCAATGATCGACTGCAGGTTAGTAATTATAGAGCAGGTCAGTAAAATGATGTTCATCAGTTTCCTGTGAGCGCTGTGTTGTTGTGTCCATTAGAAGGCCGAAAGAAGCTTCATGAGTGATTTGGCAGCATTGGCTCGGGTTTCCCTCCACAGTCCGGATGCAGAAGACAGCGATGAAGATGACAACGCAGGGAAGTCCATGTTCTCTGGTGGGTGAAAGCACGCTGATGCTGCTGTGTCTTTGCTTGGCTTTCATGATTTCATATTCCACAGGGGAAGGGATTACCTCGATAATGGACCTCCTTGCTCGGAACCCAGCCCTAGATCCAGCCTTGAATCCTTCACTGACTCCAACAGTTGTCACTCCAGCCACATCAAAACCGACAAAAAAGAAAAAAAGACAGCAAGAAGCTCTTAACAGTTGAATGCAAATATCTTTTTTTGATACATTTGGTACTAGATATAGTGTTTTATATATTAAAAAAAAAAAAGATAAACTAATTTTTGGACAGCATTTTTTCCATGTTTTATTTTTTTCTACTATACTGTTTAGGTGTTCAGACAAGGGAATCTCATCCATCCAATTTCTATAGTGGCATTCACAATCACAAATATGGCCAATTTAGAGTCTTCAACGAGGAATGTTTGTGACTAAAAACTTTAGAACTGTGAGGCAAATCTGCTAACCACTAAGTTGCTGCCTCACGTGTACATACTGTAAATTTAGATAGCTAAAAGGTCCACCTTACTTTTAAGTGCTGTTTTGAAATTGAGTGACAAAAACAAAATCAGTGCATTAATTCACCAAAAAGTGTTCACCAGTCAGGTGATCGCTCACTCTGCTGATGTTTGCCTTGGACATTTTCAAAGGATTGTTGTAAGCAATCATTAAAAGCAAACGTCCTTGGATCAGTTCTTTACAAAACGGCAGACAAAAACCACTTCCGAGAGAGAACATGAACGAAAGAGTGCAAAAAAACTACGAGGGCGTAGTTAAACGTTAAATGACCATCATTTGCATAAGTGTCATTTATTGTGAAGTAATTGTAACATGTATTTGTTACATATTTTGATGCATGTTTATGCTTCATAAAACATTTATGTCAAAATTTTGCGGCACTTGGAACGGATTAGGGCATTTACATGGAAAACGCGTCTCTAGTTATAAAACATTTCTAGTTAAGAAATTTCTTCCAGAACATCTTAATTTCATAAGTAGAGTTACCACTGTATTTGCCACGTGTTTTTTGTGAGACAAGCCAAAGCCAACGAACATTCTTCATTCACTCCGGCCGGAAATGTTGGGGTTCAAGTCTGGCTCCCTTAAATTACATGACATTGACAAAAGTAGTACGTAGGTTGGGGGAGTTATTTGTTACTGGTATTCATCCAAAATGAATCAAATATTGTACGTTCATACTGACATATACTTACTACACATTGCAACTGCATGTCAACATTAGCCTCATTGCACAGCTTGTTTTCCACATTGATTCCCCCACTACCTCACCACTGGTCCGCTGCACGATGGATGCACAGTACTTCTCTTGACTTGCCAGGGAAATTAGACATGTCAATTCTGATTCCAGCAGAGTGCAGCCACTCAGAGGAAAAACCTTGACCCTCCCTTGTCTTAATGGGCTTTTAAGTACAACACTTTATGGTTTATAATGTAGAGTAATGGTGAAGTCTGGGAGGGCTGGAGCAAGGCAGACACTTGTGTTCGTAGACTGCAATCCAGCAGGCAATCTAGCTCAGACTGATGGTTGCTTGGCCTGCAAGGCGTGTCAATTAGCAGACATGCAATTTGAGACTGGTCTTTTCATATTCGCAAACTGTTCGCATGACTAGTATGGCATCTTGAAGAAAGATTCTTTCGAGTAGTCTAGTAAGATCCATCCATTCAGAGGGTGTGTCACTATTAAGTCATCCACAGTTGTTCAGAGTGGCTGCACTGACTTTGTAGTTAATGACACTCAACAGTGACGGGGGGAACCCATTTTGGATATATATTGAGGTCCCGGAGGGGACTGCAGCGACTTGTGGAGAGATGACCTGATTTCTAATTTTCTCTCCTGCTTGAGCTGCCGACTCTTCTCTACAGCTACAAACACAAGAGACACGCCAAAGGAGGAAGGCAGTATGATTTGGACTGGATCTAATTGGATTTTATTTTCCACTTTTGAAGGAGGTATGAGTGGCTGAAGTTGGTATTCAAAGCATTCAGGTGAGTGAGTATAGTCTCAGTGTTCTTCATGTGTACAACATTGTCGTGTGTCTGATGGCACGTACACGCACCATGCGCATATGTCATAAAAGAATCATTTTTGGAATACTGGGTTTGGCTAGGAAATACTGTCACTGTAGCCTATATATGAATCCTCTGTGGGACCATCTCTGATACTGCTGCACATAATTTTGCTGGCATACTCGAGCTGTTACTAAAATAATTGTCAAATGAAAGGGGACTGCACAGAGTAACGCGTCATTAACGAGTTATTTTAGGACCTCAAAATAAGGTCGCTTTCTAAATTCACCTTCGAAGTATTCTTTTTTTTTCTTTTTTTTGCACTCACCCACCTCAAAATAAAAACAACAACAATCTAGAGCAGTGTCTCGATACTTTCATTACTATATATAATGTAAAATTGCCTGTATTTTTAATAATAATAAAATGAATAATTATGCATTTATTTGTTTTTATTTTGTAGTTTCTCAATTCCTCAACTAAACTCCAGTGGTATCATTAATCTATTTTTGAGTTATATTCCACAATCAATATTTTCTTTGGCATAATAGCCAACTGCAAATATTCACAGACTATAAATGAGATTTGTCAATACAAACATGTATTGTCATGCTAATAAATGAATTTAATTTTGCAAAAATGAGTACACACCAAGGAAAGTGTATCGTAATTTATAAGAGAGGAATAATTCTATAAATGTTGTGGATAATACTGTTTTTGTCAGACTTTTTTTTTTTTTTTTTTTTTCATTGCTGTGATTAAATTTCTATGCCATGCTTGCAATTTACTTCTCAGGAGGGCAGCCATGGCTAACCTGCAGCAGGAATACCCTGGAGTCCTCTTGGGGATCCTTGAAGAACTGGACAACCTGCGTCAGTCGTTGACCTTTCAGGACCTTTGTCGTATGGTCAGCACCCGCTTTGACCTGGAACACCTCATAGAGCTCAGGAGTTTGTTGTTTGCTGCAGCTAGTCGGGACCCCTGTTTTCCAGCCACTCTTTTTAGGGACCGGGTTTCCACTAGGGGACAGGGTCTGTCACCAATAGGTGTCGCTGCTGACATTGTCACAATCTTTAATCTTATTCAGATGACGGGTGGGGCCACTGACGACAGTCAACCAATGAGAGCTCAGGCGGTCCTGCCTGTGGACCAGTGCCCACATCCCAGTCTGCCCGGGATCCACCAGCTGAACGTTCCTCGCAGGGAGAGAGCCCGCACTCGCTCTGATTCCAGTGCAAGCCTAATTGACAACCATTTGCTCTTTCCACATTCCAATTACTCAGTACGAAAGCGAGGCAGTCTTCCTCCCGATCCCATCTCATTTGTATCGCCCCTTCCCGTCAGGACACGGGCGGTATCTTTTGACTTGCCTCACACCACACTTTTGTACTCCAGCGGGCAGATCCCCAGCAAGGCCATGAAGGATATTTACTTGCCTTTGGAAACGGACAGTGAATCTAGTGGCGATTCAGCTCCACTTGAGGTATTTGAAACCGAACAGGAATCAGCAATCGACCAAAAGCGAAACATCTTTAAGAAGGACTTCCACAATCAGCCGCCTCTCGTACCACAGGTGACCGTCAACAGTGAGTCTCCCAGTCCTAAGGGGGAGAAAGGCTTTGACAATCACAGCTTTGAAATGATCCCTAACCCTTACCCTTCACCCACCACAGTCCAGCAGGCTCCGGAGCAGCAGACCAAACATGAAAGTCTCGATGACCTGCAGGACTCGACTTATTTCGGACCTGGTTCAATCCCAGAGCGCTCCCCGAAACACTTGCACCCTACCAGAAGCCAACGGCCCATCTGGAGTAACAAAAGTCACAGTCTGGAGGACCGAGTCAGCCCGGCTCAGGCCGGTATGGGACCTGAAACCCGTGGTGTAAAACTGCCAAGGCGATCAAGGCCTGCGATAAGCAAACTTGGCGGTTCTTTGGGGGGTGAGATTGGGGACGTTGAATTTGATGGGATGAAGGCTCAAGGTACCCAGACTGACCCTCCGGACACCAGGCGTCTCCGTAGCCTGGTCCACGCCGACCGGCTGTCCTTCATGACTTCTTTAGATGACCCAGACTTTGCTGATGATGACATTAGTGCCATCTTCCGCTTTTTAGATGACATAAGCATGTGCGGCTCCACAGGAGTCCTGCATCCTCTCGATGGATCAGGGGGTCTCAACCAGGATACCCCAGAAGCCAGACGGGGCCGCCTCGGCCAACTCCAGAGGCTTTTCCATTCTCTGGAAAGCAGTGATGATGGACTAAAAGCCAGTGTGTGTAAACTGCTGCTCCGTATGAGCCAGATTGAGCGACAGTTGGAATCACTGAATGATGTCAAAGCGGAGATTTCCCAGGTGTTATCGGCTTTGCAGCGACTGGATGAAAAGATCCCGCAGCCTGCTGTTGGTAGTGGACAAAGCAGCGGTGGACGATGGCTGGAGCCCCTCAGCGGCATCTCCTCCTTCATGAGCCATCCTATTACCCCCTCTGAGTCATCTGAGCCTCAACCTCTCTCTGTATCAGAGCATCTCTTTCCTGCAACCAGCACCAATAGTCTGGACTGGAACAGATGGAACACTCCTGGGGAGCAAACAGAAAGTGGCAAATGTCAAGGTGACCCAAAAATGGGGAAAGACACAAAATCTCGTCATGCCTCGACAAACGAGACCGAGGAGAGAGGGCCATGTGATTCCAAGCAAGCAAATGTGTCAAGTATGGCAAAAGACTGGATTGTGTCTTTCTCCAAAATTAAAGGTGGCAAATCTTCACACGGAAAATCTGGGCAGGTGGAGTATTGCTCTAACTTACGCTACTTGGTGTGCATGATCACAGAGAACTGGAACGTAACCTCAGAGGTTTTTCAGGGATGCTGGTCCACATCTAATGCTATAAATAAATCTAATCTCATAAATAGTGTAATTTTAAAGAAACATCATAACACATGGGCAGCGACGGGGGGACTAGTGGTTAGCATGTCTGCCTCACAGTTGAAAGATTCTGGGTTAGAATGTTGGCTTTGGCCTTCCTGTGTGAAGCTTGCATGTTCTCCCTGTGCTTGTATCGGTTCCCCCCGATTACTCCAGCATCCTCCCACGTGCCCAAAACATGCATCGTCAGTTAAGTGAAGACTCTAAATTGTCCATAGGTGTGAATGCGAGCCTGAATGATTGTTTGTTTTAATGTGCACAGCCATTTCCTGGTGACCCATCCATGGTGTACCTTGCCTCTCTCCTGAATTCAATTCGGATACCTGCAGCTCACCCGTGACTCATGAGAACAAGCATTATAAAAAACGGATGGATACATTGTAACATTGTTAAGTCTGACAAGTGTAAATATTTATCATCTATAAAGTAGGAATGACAATGGTGCAATTTGAAGGTAATTTAGGGCACAGCATTTTTTTTTTACATTCTTACAAGTGTGAAAAAATTTACTTCTGAAAATGTAAAAACAACAGAACTTTTCGCTTTATGACAAAGATGCTCCTGGTTGCACTGGCTAAAAGTGCTAAAATCACAAAAAAATAGACAAGATTAGCTCAGATTTAACTGTCTGTTGCTGACTTTGCGAGGTCTTGCATTTTATCATTATTTGGAAATTACGAATTGTCAAGTCTCCAGTCTTCTAGTATATATATATATTTTTAGTATACTTCTCTTTCTAGGAAGACCAATCAAGCAGAACTGCAAAACTTCTCTCCCAGAAGTCGTCCAGCTTGGTGGAGCAAATGTTTAGCTCGTCCTTGTTTGGCAACAAAGAAAGCAGCCTGACTGGTGGCCTCACTGCAGGGAAGATTATGGACCCCAGATTGGCTGAAGGGAGAGGAAGATCCGTCTGGACTGTAGACGACCGAGAGGCACGAGTCTCCCCTTTTGATTTACAGGTACATTTAAATGATTCTTAATTGTCGGTGGTTTCCACATTGTTTTGTAAAATGATTGTGTCATGCAGGCCCGTGATTCTCTGAACCCGAACAACGTGGAGTTCTGGATGGATGATATCTACACTCCGGGCTATGACGCGTTACTCAGACGGAAAGAGGCCGGCCTCCGCCGGGCCAAAGTTTGCAAGTTGTTGGCACTCATTGCTGTTGCACTAGCTATCATTCTCATTATTGTGATTCCCATTTTCACCATTCGATCATGAGCGGTTGCTTTGTGACAATTTGCACATATACTGTCCTCCGAGACAAGTTCCTCCTACGGGAGACCAATTCAAAATCAAATTCAAATTCAATTCAGATACTGTCTTTGACTTTGGAATTGGGGCCTCCATCTGTGAATGCTACTTAATGCTATTTAACACTGAGCCATTATCTCAGATACTGTATATGAATGCCTTGACAAGTCACTCCCGAAAGCTCTCTGGCTCTCTGTAATCATCATTGTTTTGGCTTTCCCTTGAAAAATGACATATGACGTCTATATGTCTCATCAGCATGAGTTTCAAATATACAATTTTCTCTTTGTTTTTGCCTTCTGAAACCTCATCTCCGCTATCAAAACTACAGAATGCATGCGGTACACCTGCACAAGGAATATATTTGCATTTTAGGGTCAGGTTTCAAGAAGAGAATGTCTTGCTGCTGCTAATGTTGATGATATGGAAGCGGAAACATTTTCCAGGAAACTCTCTCTTAGAGGGAGTTTCCACTTGTAATTCGATTGATGGGCTATTTGGAGTGCATCCTAGCACATTAGCTTTTCCCTCTACTCAGCCAGCCAAGGTATTTTTTCCCAACATGCAGACTCAATAACAATTTTATTTATCCTCCCCTCACAGTGCCGAATGTGTTTTTTACTGTGGTGTGAAAGTCCATTTTGTTAAAAGTTCCTGTTAACCCAAGAGGTATAGACTGACTTTTGGTGCCAGGCTGTTAATAGTGGTCAAATGTGGTCAACAAATACATGTGAAACAGATTTTAATAACAGTACACCTTTTCTAATCGCTTTGTGATTAGAAGCCGCGGTATGTGTGTTTGTATGACTTATTTTGCATCAAAGACACCTTCATCATTCACTCTTAGAAAGTCAATAACACCTACAATTGTTTATGTTAATATACTGTATGTTCACCCCATGTTCATCATTTGATATAATGGACTTACTTCCTTTCCGAATTCCGATATTTTTGATAGAATCACTGAGGTTTACCGTGTCCATTTTCAAAACATGTTCGTTCTTTCCAGACCTAAAAAAGTTGCCTCTTGCTTTGAGTGCACAAATATGCACAGGGTCTAATGAGAGTGTGTTTTGCTTCAGTGCATCCTTCCTAAGTGGATATACATCTGCCATGTGTTCCCCACGAGAGTGTTTGTGGATCCATTACCAATGTTGCCACTAAAGAGGTCGAACTGTGTAGTCAGCACAATATGCAGGTGCTTTCTCTAAAACTTGTGTGCATTAGAGCCTCTTATTACCATTTTCCCCCCTGAGATGCTTTCATGAATTTTAGACATTGTTGTTGCAGTCTCAGGTAAATAAGCACTTATTGTAAATGAAAAATACGATAAATAGAACATTGCAGCACAAGTTGGTGGTTGGCAGCTCTTGGTGAAAATGGCACATATTCGTTCATGTTGCCTGAATGAAAACGGCAAAGTGGGGCGATGCCTTTGCATAGCATTATAAGAGATGATTTATATGAACAATAAAATATTGGTGAAAGAACAAATGTGATGAAAGACAAGGCTACATGTATTAAAGATTTCATTTCCCCCCTATCCATCCATTGTCTGTACCAGTGATTCTCGAATGGGGGTATGCGGACCCCGGGGCTCTGTGAAGGCACTTCCTGGCTTATGTGAGGTTTTATAATGTATTTAAAAAATAGCATCCATGCAAAAAAAACCCAAAAAAAGTTCGATCACTGCAGTTACCTCACTGCCACCAAGAATAACAAATATCCTCATCGAAGCACAAGTCCAAGTGTCTCACTAAATGCTGAAAAAATTCAGCAACAATGCAGTGATGTTTAATGTTGACCACATTCAGTCTTATTTATAATTATATAATAGTTATTTGAAGAGAATTTTTGCAAATGACTTTCTGCTTTTATTTAAAAGGAAGTGAATGATTTCTTTTTGAGAACAGATCTGCACTATGATCCAATGGAAGACACTTTAAGTTGATAATTATTTTGGTTTGCACAAAACTTTATTTATAATTTAGTTAATTATGACTTTCTTTCTTTTTAGTAGTACCACTTCATTTCCAAATGGTTGTTGTGATAGGGTACCACTAGAAATGGAGTTCCAAAATACTGTATAATAAATCAGACACGGATGGCAGAAGACTCTTTTAAGTCTTTTTATTTCCCATCCCAAAATACTTTGAGCTGATTCGGGTGTACTTGGCTAAAAAATATTTCACAGGCGGTACATCACATGGCAAGAGTCCAATAAATCAGACAAAACGAACAATCAAACATTCTTCAATGTTTGTGGAATGCGGAAGGAAGCCAAAGCACACGGAGATGGTCTTTGCGCATGCGCATGAGTTACTGGTTCAAAGCGATCATTTTTTCTGCAGTTACACTTATGAACCTGACGTGGCAGTAGAGTGTAAAAGTTCGAATTTATAAAACGAAGTAGAAGAAAATAAACGGCGCTGGTTTTGAACTTTGTTGAAGAATGTGTGAAGGTGTGGTTCCGCAGCACCGGAGTTGGAATTAATCAATTTTGTGTTAACGTTCCCTGGGTCGTTACATGTCACTCACATCACTACAAGGAATACGTTGCAGAGGTAACCGCTTTGATTTATGTATCTATTTATTTTTGTAAATCGACGAGACTTCGCCCAACGACGTTCAAGTCAACGGCATACCGACAGTTTCGTTGCGGGTAGCATCAAGGTGATTTAGCTCATAGTGCAAAACTGTCTGAATATCATGAATACTTTTCTGAATCTCATGCTTAACACAATGCACGTGTTACTTTGCCTCATTTATGTACCCCAGTGTAGGGATTTTACTTCCTCTGGTGAAGCGAATCAACCACTGACCAATTTAGCTTCCATAGCTAACGTTGCTTTTCATGTACGCTGACGTTGCTAGCCGCAGAACGGCACTATGGAGTCGACCGTGGTGAATCTGTACAATCAGTTCCTGAGTTTACGGACCCTGGTGGACGGTCTGAATGAGAGCGTTGAACCACGTAAGTTGATCCCACTCTTCTCCAGCGTTTGTAGCAACAACAAAAACATTTTCAGTATTCGTAATACAGTACATAGAATTAACACGTCCATGTATGCTTGTCATTTATAAATTTTTAACTTTACACTGTATTACTGAAGTATTCTCTTGCGGTTTCTGTTATTACCACTTGAAGAAGATTGTCTTAATGGTATGTACTTGGTTGCTTTCAAACTACTTGTCCACAGTTTCTCATATGTATAAATCAGGAAATTTGTGTAATGTTAGTCATTCTTAGTCTTACATTTTTAATATGTACATAACATGAGTAAAGCACGATCAGAACCACTGCTTCTCGCACAATGGTTGTGGCAATCACCGCAGACAGCAGCTATTTTCTTCTGTTGTTTTATTAGAGTTTCTTCAGATGGCCATAAACTTTGAGGACTGCAGAAAGAAGTGGCTTCAGTCAGGTGAGGAGCTGCTATCCTGCAAAGAGATGCTGGCTAAAGCTGAAACAGAGAGGGGAGCTTTGGAGGTCAAACTGAAGCATGCACGCAATCAAGTGGACGTGGAGATCCGTCGGCGGCAGAAGGCTGAAGCCGTCCATGAGAAGCTGGTTTGTGACATTTTTTTTCATGAAGCTCATTTACAGTGGAACCTCCAAAGTCAGATACTGGCTGCTGTTAATCACAAAAATGTGGATTTGTCCTTCATCGTCTTGCCACCAGGAGCGTCAGCTACAGCTGATCCGGGACATGCTGATAACAGAGAATAGTAGTAGCATGCACCTAAGTGAGGAGCAGCGCTCTGCCCTGGCCTTTCTCAGTGCACACTCTCAGGCTGCTAAGTCCAACCTTAACTCCAGCAGAAGGTTTGCTTTTCTATCTGTGGTTTGCCATTAAGAGTTTTTTTTTTTTTTTGAGACAAATTCGTGTTTCATTTTAAATGCCAAGACATATCACAATGTATGAAAAGTGTTCATGTGTTCAATATCCGTCGCATTTTATGAAGTTCTTCCCACAAGAAGTTTAAAATAATGACACTGGTTTTCTTGCAGGTTGATGGCCATTGATGAATCAACCTCCATAATGTCAGACATAAGCTTTGATCAAACAGATGACTCCATGGTACATTCTTCCATATATTGTTTCAACCTTCTGCACTCCTTAAAGCTGACATGCTGCAACTTAATCCCATTTCCTTTAGGCCTGTGATTCTTCTGTCATGAAGACTGTGAGACTGCGGAAACGTCCGAAGCGAGTGAGTTATAAATGTATTCTAATTTGAAATCAAAATACCAGTGTTGTTAACCAGGTTTTTGTGATGAACCAAAATGACACCAACACACACACACAGTGTGAAACTGTTCATATTGTATTCAGTTAAAAAAACCAAACTCTACTCTTAACAGATGGAAAATAAAGCAAATAGTAAACCTTGAAAGTATGGAATGTACCAAAAGTAGATATGAGGAAATGTAGTTCCTTTGTAATCCACAGCGCTCTTCTCGAAAACTTGAGGTTCCTCCGCAAGCAATGAAGAAACCTCGCTCCACGGGCCGCGCATCTAATCGAGTAAGTATGCTTTGATAACAGAGACAATCCTTTATGTCTTCTCCCCCCCCGATACACGTTTCCTGAAAATCTCATTGCATACAGATAAATGACTCCATAGTTGCCAAAACCACCATCACTGTGCCAGGAAATGGCTGTGCTGTGGAGGCTGTCTCCACTATCGAGGCTGTCCCCTATGGGACACGCAGTAGGAAGAAGAGTGGTGAGAAATTCCTGATTACAAATTCACTCGCAGTAACTGTGAATTTAAATACCGTTTGTTGTTGTAAATTACTGTCATTTCATCTATATCATGTGATTTTATTGTGCTGACAGTTGCTCCAGCCTGGGCTGAATCAACCTCTATTGAGCTGTCCGAAACCAACAGTGAAGCACCCAGCACACCACTCTCGGATTTTCCCCCTCACCTCCAAACTCCCAGACTCAAGAGAGGAGGAGAAAAGCAGCATATCTTTGTCCCCAAAACAGTGAGCCATTACTCTAACTTTGTTTCCACCAAGCTAATTGATTTGATTCCATACAATCAATATTACTGTCTCTGAATTGTACTCTGTCATACGTACTACTACTCATGGCAGGTTTGATAAAATGCTTCCAATGGCTATTTATTCCCCACCCGTGACGTACAGAATTTTCGTCTGTTTTCACACGCATTGACATGTCGTTTTTCTGAAAAGTAGAAATAACCGAAGTATGTGCGATTTGCAAAATCAGAAGAGAGAGGTGACACCCACAGACGACTGTCAAAGCGAATACAGTGTCATTGCTCATTTTGTTTGTTAATTCTTAATAATATGACTCAAAATGCATTTTAACTTACATTACTAGGACTTTGACAGTTTTTGCGTAACATTGTTGCTATGTTACTGCATTCCATTAAAAAAAGCAAGTAATACACAACTTTGGCCATTTGGTCACAGCGCTATGTAGATATGTGGGTGTTTTCTGCATAAGAGTGGAAGGAAATGCCATTTAAATACATGTACAATAATGACATTGTGGAAGTGGTCATAGTATTGTGGCTGTTGTCACCACGATCACTCTCTCTGTTCCTCGAGCTTTGCGTAACGGCTGTTTTTCACCACACTCTCACAAAGGTGATCAAATCTGAGTTCTGTGCACCATGTGGAAGAAGAACAAAGTTTGGCAAGATGTACCTTCGCTGTCAGGACTGCAGGATTGTGACTCATCCCGAGTGCCGTGACTGCTGCCCCCTGCCCTGCAACCCCGTGTCCATCAGTACTCCCATCAGGACTGCAGAGGTGCGGCATGTCTTTCTCATTGATTCCCACAATACCTCTACTTGGGAATTTTCATATAACATGACTCAGAAAAACAATCTGAATTCACGTGTGCTTGCAGAGCACCCTGGCTGACTTTGCGCCAACAACTTCTCCAAAGATCCCAGCTTTAGTTATCTACTGTATCAAGGAGATTGAACACAGAGGCCTGCATGAGGTGAGTGAGCCTCTTTCTTGTAACCCTTCCTTATGTTGTGTGTGTGTGTGTGTGTGTGTGTGTGTGTGTGTGTGTGTGTGTGTGTGTGTGTGTGTGTGTGTGTGTGTGTGTGTGTGTGTGTGTGTGTGTGTGTGAATTTTAATTCATATTTGGATCCGTTCCCAGTTCACTGTATCACAACACCGTATTTCTTAATTTCTTCCCAGGTTGGCCTGTACAGAATTTCTGGCCAGGAGCGTCAGGTGAAAGCACTGAAGGAGAAGCTGATTAGAGGAAAGACACTGCCACCGCTAAACAAAGTCGAGGACATCAACGTCATCACTGGTGTTCTTAAAGACTTTCTCAGGAACCTTCCTGAGCCAATTCTCACCTTCCGCCTCAACAAAAACTTTATGGAGGCAGCTGGTCAGTTTCCTCTCTTAATCAACTGAAAGACAAAATGGGTGTAAAAAAACCCCCACAAAAAATAAAATAAAAAGTTTACGTTATCTGTCTCTTGTAACGTTGTAGAAATCCAGGATGAGGGGAACAGTCTTGCATTGTTGTACCAAACCATCAGCGAGCTGCCTCAACCCAACCGAGACACTCTAGCCTGCGTCATGATCCATCTGCAGAAGTAACTTTTACAAAGTTTTGAAGAGTAACATCTTCAGCTGTAAGATTTCCTGAGTTCAACTATTTTGCCCGGACGGTGAGCAGATATGCCATACTTTCCTCCAGAGTGTCAAAGAGCGTGGATACAAAGATGGATGTGACAAACCTGGCCAGGGTGTTCGGCCCTACTCTTGTCGGCCACGCTGTTCCAAATCCAGACACTATGACTGTCCTGAGTGACACAAGCAGACAACCACGGGTAAAGTATATTCTTTACCTACTGTCAGTGTAATTGATTTCTTCAGAATTCAGTTGGACTTATTTTTTTTTTCTCCTCCCAGGTAATTGAGCGCTTGTTTAGTATCCCGGCAAGCTACTGGAGTCAGTATGCCTATCCGGATAATATAGACGTGGAGAGTGCTCACTTCACTGGGACTCCTAGTCACAATGGTAAATCGCAGCATCAAGGTTCGACAGGATAGTGATGATTATGTACGAAACAAAACTGCACCTCTATCAATTGCGTGTTTTTTGCAGTCAGCATACTTGGACCACTGACCACTCCTGAGCATCAGTTGATGGCAAAGACGCCCTCCTCCAGCTCGCTATCGAAGCGGATGATGCAGACCTTCTCCAGCACCACCATGTAAGTTCATCCACGCACACGCTCGCTTGTGTTGTAGGGTGCATCAATCGCCACAAAAATATTAAAGCATCCGAATTTTTACTTGGCCCTGTAAGCTTGCTGTTCTATACTCCAAAATAGTTGTATACTAGTAACATTTAGGAATACAATGTTTGCAGACTGGGTCCACAAAGTGATCAAGAATTGCCCAATTTATGAATTTTTGCACCAGTTTTACATTTTTCATTTTTAATGTTGAAAATATGAATCAATATTCAAAATTAGAGCTATTATTATAAGTAGTCAAAGAGGCTAGTAACCAATATTTGGTGATGATATGAAGGAAAATTATTCAAAATTTGGAATCATACAAATCCCAACACCTAACTTTGTTTAAATGCCTCTCAGGATTTTTATGAAACAGCTTTTTAGTTTGCATGTGTTAAAGTTTATTTCATCTATCCGCAACCATCTTTAGATTTGCAGGCAAGAACAAAACAGCTGCTAGCCCCCGGGTCAACTTCTTCGAGTCTCCACATCTGAAGTAACGGCCCACTGGAGTTTACAAAAAGCAGATAATGGCTTCTGTATTACTTGCTGCAATAACAAGCTCCATTTCCACAAGAATGTGAGTAACACTAAGGTGCAGGTTTATCTTAAGAATGCATTATATCCACATCTCATTTGCTTTCTAATCAAGTGAAGTAGCTTACACATGAAGAATTTTTATATCTTTGATTTATAAGTAAGTCCTCACTTATGAAGGACCAAAAGCTGTACTAATGAGGTTACGAGGCTTTAATGACCAAGCAACTCCAGCTAACCTGTTTGAAGGACCTTTTCTTTTGTGTGTTCAATCATCCATTGTGGTTGTAACGGCATCCTCGGGGGATGGAGCAGCATATGAAACTGGGCCAAAGGGAGGAAAAAAAATGAATGATTACTTGTGTTTGAGAATCTTGTGGCATTGAGCTGACGCCTACTTTAAAGCTTGCTTTAAACACTGTATTTCATGTTTATGTTGTGTGGTAAGGCCGATTCACAATCAGACTACTGTATATGGCCAAATAACACTACTAACACTGATGCTAAATGGGAATTATGCAGTATTTTGCACTGTATCTATGCAACAAACAGAATGGATGTACGCACCACTAGAGGCTGCTGTTGTATTACTATTATGCTTACATTATGCTCGTGCAATTGTAACTAACTTCTGTGATTGCCCTTGAACTGATAAGAGCACACCAGGTATCACTGGATATCTGCTGTTCATACCGAAAGAACTCCAACCAAGCTTTGTGTGCCAACAACTTAACTACTGCATTCATATATGCATTTTAAACTTAATACATTTAAATGCCAGTTATGCCTTTTTTATGTTGTAGTCTAAAAAAAAAAATCCCAACAAAAAAACAACGGCAACAAAACTTTTGATTCAAACGAGTTGTCGTTCTTTTGAATGAAGTGTTGGGAAAGCACGTGAGAGAAATGGTGATCCAACAGGTTTTGCTTTTTTTTTGTCAAAAATCTCTTCTGTACCCACTTCTGCAAACCCAAACTGGAATCCAGTGGAACAGAGCCCACGGTTGATGTCGAAACAAAGCATTAAATGTCATTTCCTCTCTCTTCTTGGTGCTCGTTCATTTCAGGTGATAAATGGGTTGAGCCTGACAGGCATTTTTTCACATCTCATTGAAGACTAAATTTCTGGCCTTGAGACAGCTGGGCCGCAGAAATATGAAAATATGTGCCAGTTTATCTATTTATGTTCTTTCTTTGCGGAGGAGACTCTTCCAAAATGTTTGCATTTCAAATGAACATTAATAGTTCATTAGCCTGAAATGAGGCCTCCTGTGTGTCAATGTGTCCCCTCGTGTGGGAATGCTGTGTTTATTTACGGCGTACCGTGCAGCATAAGCTCGCCTGCTGCAGGCATCAAACAGCTGGCTGTGTATGTGTGCGTGGAGCTCCCTCCTTGTTCGAGCCAGAGTGCGCACTGTTAGAGTTCCACACTGCTGTGGGACTGCAGGGGCCAAATGAGTAACTAGTCCAATTAAGAGTGCTTAGATAAATTACATTGTAAGCTTGTAAACACAACAACAACAACAACAATGGTATCAAAGTCCTCTATTTAAAAAATGAAGTGTGGGAAGTGGTGCAGGAGGAGGCCACTGTATGATTACAGTTTCTGGGAGATGAACTCAATCGCTGCATGATTGTATTCCTAAACTTCGCTTATTGACTGTTTTGCAGATTGAGTTCATGTTCTTCATCCTCCAGCTTTGTAGAGCTTGTAGGCCTGTGTGGTTACTTCAGTTTTGAGCCAGTAAGTCATGCACCTGTGATACGTCAACTCAATAACTGACAGTCAAAGCTAGCCCAATGTCGTTTGCTACAGCAAAAAGCCATTTTAAGACACGGACATGTCAAACGTTTTGTGTTCATTAAGTGTTGGATTTGAAATTCTTGCAGAAAAGACACGGTTGAAAGTATCAACTGCGACCTTACAACTTGAAAGTGTGAGGCCTATGTAGTTCAAATGAGTAGTACATGTATGTATAAACATGAGCAGCACTACCAAGATGTTGCATCCTTTGCAGGCGAGGCATGTGTGTCTGAAAAGTGCTCCAGCAGATTTTTTTTCTACTTTCAGTAAATTATGAAATCGATATGCTTTCCACTTGGTGAGTTAATATATAGAAAATGCTGAAAAACCAAACGATACTTGACACGCTAACTGCAAATAAATGTGTGGCTTGTTTGCCTTTCAGTACTCTCTCACTATCTCTTCCCCCCACGGAAAAAAAAAACCAACACACACATACACTCCTTCTCCACGCCTTAGAATCAAACTGCCATCTTAGTCGGCTACCATGCGTGGTCGATACCTTGTTACCACAGAGAAATCAATTATCTTGACCAAGCAGCAGGCGTCAGCGGCAGTAATGAAAGAATGTTCCTACTTTCCAGACAATGACCATGGTCATTAAATATGAATTTATCATTGGCTGATGAGATTTATGGGGCCCTGAGTTGATGCTCTCTGGCTACAAGTGTAAACTATAAGTAACTAAGGGAAACACATCATCATCATCATCATGTTGGTGATAATGATGTGTGCCCAAAACAGGACTGAAAATTGATTAGGGAAGTAAAATGATGCCATCTTTTCAATGCTAGAACAATGTGTTCCAACTTATCCCAGCTGACATTCGGAATGTGGGAGGGCACTGAAGCATGCGGAGAAATTCTACACAAGCACCGAGGAGAACACCTTGAGATTTGAATGTCAAAATTGTGCGGCGGACATTCTAACCATTAGGCCCAACATGCGGCACTTAAAGTCAGAATATGAAATAAAAATGTCTGTGTTGGGTTGTTCAGATGATTGTAATGTGGCCAGCTGGTATATTAACGACTATTGTATCGCAGTAGTAACAAATATTTTTATTGGGTAAAGAAATGAAGCCTTGTAGGCCGGGAACCACGTGCTGTTATTGCCTCCAGTCATATACTTATTTTATGTGGCCACACTAGCTAACACATGAATAATGAACAGCACGTATTAAAAGTAAAGTCAAGTAAACCAAAAAAAAACAAAACCCCTTTCAATATCTCTATGTATTTTTTTTCGGTGGGGGCGCTATTTGTTCTTTCGTCGAAGATGTAATATCACATTTGACCACTAGGTAAAGGCACGCGACTGTTTAACACTGATCGTGAAAGAAGAAGAGAAAACAGGAAGTTGGTGGCTTTTTTTTTGCTGAAGAGATTTGAACATTTTTGAATGACTTTTTTGACTGACTCAGTCCTTTTCACTCCTCTTTGACATCGACAGAAATCAATGGGTGTAAGTTCATTTTATAATTTACATATTTGGGAATGATTTTTGATGTTTATTGTGAAATAATTTAAACTTGTTACTTTGGAAAAACAGGATTTGTTTACTGTAATTATGGGGATTGACACACAGTAATGTTTGTACAATATTTTTTATCTATTCCTCTTGCCCTCTCTGAATATATTAAATGTTTTTAAACTATAAGTGCAATAAATGCTGATATAAATGCTAAGAACATGCCTAGGGAGTGTTTGAATATAGTCTTTCTATCAACTAGATTTCATTTATAGCCGGTCTGGAACATAACCTCCACGATAGAGGGGGCTTAACTGTCGTTGAGTTTCTGACGTGAATGCCCACCCATCATGTGTGAAATTAAACTAGTAAATCTTTTATCTGCCCATTACTAAAAAAAAAAAAACTGATATAAATGCTAAGAACATGCCTAGGGAGTGTTTGAATATAGTCTTTCTATCAACTAGATTTCATTTATAGCCGGTCTGGAACATAACCTCCACGATAGAGGGGGCTTAACTGTCGTTGAGTTTCTGACGTGAATGCCCACCCATCATGTGTGAAATTAAACTAGTAAATCTTTTATCTGCCCATTACTAAAAAAAAAAAAATAAATAT